AGCAATCTAAAATTAACAAAGAACAGGAACAGTTAAATTCAAACATAAGACAACATTTCCTACTTCAATATAATTAAAATCTCACTTCTTATTATTTATCAATTGAAACAGAGTTAACAGAGACATACATTTTTTTAATGGTGTTGTGGGTTTCATATATTGTTCTAATTAACTAACTAGTTTTAATACAGTACACCAAAAATCATACTATGAAAATTATTAAACATAAATCAAAACAGTACTACATTCTAACAAGATTATGACTTCACATAAACACTACAAAAATAAACATCAACTACTTAAATATTTTAAACATTTTTTTAGTGTCCTTGATATTTTCATTTTCACAAACTGTTAGGTACAGTGTATATACACAATACAAACTTTTTTAACTTTTCAAATGTGATTATATGTTTGTGCTTTTGGAAATGGATCTTTAATTAGCCTTATTATTTTGCATTTAAGCCTCTTTTTGAGCATAAAATGTAATTAAATTCTGAAAATGTAATTGTTGTATGTCCAATTATTTAGTTGTATTATCATTTATCCATATCAGGGTGTACTTTCACCCAAGTGGTATAGTTAAGACGTGTATGGGGTTTTGACAGTGGAACTTTCATTAATTTTAGAAACTGTGTAAATCCAGCATCCTGTTCAGACCCTATTATATAATACAAACAGTATTAATTTAATTTAAGAACAGTTATTATGTGACTATACCTTGAAACCGATAATGGTGTTTTTGATAACTGATGATAATAATGCTCCGCTCTCTCCATGTTCAGTTCTTCGTGGCTGAAGTAGCGGCGCATGTAATAATCAGTGTAGCTCGCAGCGGCCTCTGTCGGTAAAAAATAATCACTACATGACTGCTCTGGTAACCAGCAACTTTCCAGAGATAAAACGTTTCATTTCTGTGGTTCGTAGTGTTTTAATTTTACACTGTAGTTTTCAGACGAAAGGACATGTAGTTTTGAATAAAAAGGCGACATACCTTCACTCAGAGTGGACGTGACACCGGATGAAGAGGCTCCGGTGGGTCTTCAAGACGAGCGCGTCGGCCAAATATCTGAAATACATGTAAAATTTACCCCAAAACTGTCGAGACAAACTGAAAAAGGAAGGAAACCGTTTTTTATAGGTTTGAAATTGATCGGCTTCAAAGCGCTCCTGTCAAGTCAAGAGTGCAGATAACGGATTTTTAACGGATTATAAAATATCAGTCGACAGAGGAGATGTAAACATACTCGTACGAAAAACAGCAATATTACTGTCAGGGCTTAAAGACACTTTGTTACAAAAAGCAACATAACGCACACATATTATTACCACTGTGTCATCTGTCTCAGTTGCACCGATCGACCGTTGGAATTTAAAATTTTAACCCAACTGGTTGTGTTGTTATAGAAATAACCCAATAAACATAGGAATAACCCAACAAAACGACCCAACATGTTTAACCCAGATATTGGGTACAGAATATCAGTCGACGGGAGATGTAAACATACTCGTAGAAAAAACAGCAATCTTACTGTCAGGGCTTAAAGACACTTTGTTACAAAAAAGCAACATAACGCACATATTATTACCACTGTGTCATCTGTCGCAGCCCCATTTGCACCTATCGACTGTTGGAATTTAACATTTTAACCCAACTGGTTGTGTTGTTAAAGAAATAACCCAATAAACATAGGAATAACCCAACAAAACGACCCAACATGTTTAACCCAGATATTGGGTACAGTAAATAACCCAACGTTTTTTAGAGTGTAGTTGTGTGGACAAAAAAGCCACTGATACATTTCTCAAAATATCTATTATGATTTATTCTTAGTTGTAAGATTGGTCTTGAGGTTTATGAAAGAGCTGCAGATGCGTCCCACTTTTAATTCACCATGCCAAGCGTTTACATTTCTCTGATCACATTCTGAGTGCTAAATGAACCATCTGATTCATTTTATTCTACACAGATTTGTTAGCAGCTGGTCTGTCAAAGAAATAATGAATGGAAGCTCCTGCTGTTTAAGCAGGAAATGTGGTGTGCGGTTTTATAGTCATGAAATAATGGGACCGACCTGTGAATGGTAACACTAGTCAGATAGATAAGGATAATTGAAAACTGTAGAGAATTTTTTTAGAATCAGAATGATTAACATTTTGAATGTAGTCAGCATATGTATTTATATATTTCTTTACAAATTCATGGTTTATCATTTTCGTTTCAATGTCATTTAAAAAAAACGAGATTACCACTGTGAAGAGAATAGACCTAGTTTAATAAAAAAAAAAAGAAAGAAAGAATAAATAAATAAATAAAAATAAATTAGTTTGTGATAATGATTTGTCTGCTGATTAGCTTAAAGTGATAATTCACCCAGTAATGATTCTGTCATCATTTACTCAAAACTCAAACAGGTTTGAAACAACTTGAGGGTGAGTAAATGATGACAGAATTTGAATTTTTGGTTGAACTATCCCTTTAAAGGTGTGGTATAAACGAATAGCACTCATATACAGCTGTTGAGATGGTATTCTCATTTGAAACTAAGTAGAGGTTTGGACATGGAAACACTATTCGATACATCACAACTTAGCAAGCAGATTTCATTTGTCTTCTGACAGATGGATCACAGAGGAGTGGGAACATTGTACTAAAATCTGTGGGAGCTTGGGATACCAAATCCGCACCGTGCGCTGTGTCCAGTTCCTTCATGAAGGCACAAACCGCTCCATCCACAGCAAGTACTGCAGCGGGGAAAAGCCTGAGATCAGGAGGCCATGTAACAGAGTGCCCTGCCCTGCCCAATGGGGAACCGAGGCCTGGTCAGAGGTATGTTTTTCTCAGGTCACATGATGTTTTGTTGCTATGAATACAAAAGCGTTAGCTGTCAAGGTTTTTGAGAGTAGCATATTGGGAAAGTGAGACGATTGGTTCAGTTCTATTTTGATATTATCTGCAAGCAATTTTCAGTGTAATTGGGCTTGAAATCTTTGTGAAACTAAAAAATACATCCTAGGATTTTTGTGTTTTGTTTTTTAGAGTGTCAAGAAAATAAACAAATTAGGACTTATTTCCTTTTAGTTTGTACTTTTTACCTTGAAATTAGAACCATTCTTTCACATGTCTAAGCGAGTCCTGACATTTCCATTGATTTTAAATCAATAATGATTTTGATTCACCAAGAGAGTTTCATGACAGTAACCTCATTACCCAGCTATGTCAGTATTTGAAGCTAAAATCCAGGCTTTGAGTGTTTCATTGCCAGAAGACTTTTGAAGATTTTAAATATTATGCAGAGATATCAAGCTCAAGCCAGTACGCTGCAGGTCGGTGTAATCCTCTGTTGAATCAGTCTATGTGGTATTGATTTTGAACCCAAGCAAACGGATTCAACAGCAAGCTCTGTCAATGAACAATGAGTCATTGATTAGGCTGACTGTAAACTCATAAACTGGACATTAGGTGCATACCAATATGCATACTCATGCACTCTATGCCAGTTTGTAGTATAAATAGTGTGTTCACACTGAAAATTCCAAAAAGACAAATGGCACTTCAAATAAAAGCACTTAATTAACCGAAAAAAAAAGTTTGTTGGAAACTTCATGTACTTAATTGTCACAGCTTTTCTTACATACGGGAAGGGGAGAAGCTATCAGAATCTGATGCAAAATAACTTCATAAAATTCATACACTAGATCAGAAGATCCCAAACCTTTTACTAAGAAGAGCCAGAAATCAAACTTGATTGAGGGCCTTGGGCCAAATATAAATCTTGCTTTATATTCAACTGTATTATATTAAAAATTATGTTATAAAAATGAAATTTGATTAATAAAATAATAAAAAAAAGGTCATCACTGGTCAACTTTGGCCTGCAGGCCCCTGGTTTCTGTTTCTGCAGTGTCACTCTCTGTAGCCCCGATTACATTGACATCTCATTGGGCTAAAGTTCTGCTCCTCATAACTGTACATTGAACATCAAATATCTTCTGTCTGACTGCGATTGTGTCTTGGGTAAACAAATCGCATTGTGCTTGTTTAGGACACAGTGTTAGATGTTTGAAGCCATATGTATTTTTCTGTAGTTTGTAGGTTCTCCTCAACTTCTTTCTTATCTCTCAGTGCTCGGTGTCCTGTGGAGAGGGTGTGGCACGACGTCTGGTCACATGTCGCATTGGAGATCAATGCACCGGTGAGAAGCCTGAGTCGCACAGACCCTGCAGGCCAGGACCCTGCCATGGTAAGACAACACAGACACGCCACTGCAAACTCTGAAAGCCAAAGCAGAGAATTGGTTTAAACAGAGAGCAACACAGGGACAACAGTCTGCACTCATCAAGCGATTTTATGGAGTCTTGGAACGGCTGATCTGTTCATGTTGTTCATTCAACAAAAATAAGTCTATTGAAAGAGAATGGAAAATATAGCACAATGCACAAATTCATCTGCATTGATGACATTATTCATGGTGCTCTTAACCACAGTCAGTTTCCCAGAATGCTTTTGTGGTCTGTGAACTTCTCAACTGCTCTGTGGAGAAGCTTGTTTACCTTGTCTCAGTTGTCTGTTGAGAACTTTTATTTAGTCACGCATTACGTATGAGAAAGCTATTAATTAGATCACATAATGCCTACAAGCTGGAAATGAACATGAGGTTTTGGCAGTGTTTCATATTCATAAATGTACTCTTTCAACATTTCTTCCCAAAACCAGTCGCATTTCCGAACCCCATGAGCTAGAAATTGTACATTTATCTTCGTGATTAATGCAACATGTTTTACTGCTGTGATGTGTAGTGCCTACAGCACAGAAAAATCACAGTTTCTTTGCAAACAAGAAAGCCTAACTTTATTCAAGAGAACTCACTGCTTTCGAGAATTTTCCTCCAATCTTTTATTGCTAAAGCTCAGCTGGTCAGCCTTGTTTGTTAGAACACAGCAGACATCACTATGAATAGCAATTTCTTTATATCTGCTTGCATGATGCTTCCTCTAATTCCTCTTTAATGGCTTTACCCGCACCTGGATGACATCCATCTCAGTGGAAGGTTAACAAAACACCTACCCTTTACAAATGGCACTCTTGCGGCACACTGCTTAACTTTTCAGCTGCGTACAGTATGAAGCAGGACTCCTTAGGGAGTTGGAGGCATTTAGCTTCTTTTCAATTCTAAAAGAAAAACTCGTTTGTGCTTCATCTGGTGACAGCAAGCTATAAACCAGCTTCAACTGGAATGGCTCTTTTTATGACTTACATTAATTGAAAGACCTCATGACTGCTGCATTTGTTGTGGGCTTTTTCTTTTGTTTTGTTTTGATTTGATTAGAACAGTGAGGGGAGAGCAGAATAATAAAGTATAGCTGAGGGGATCAGGAAATGATGCAAGTCCGAGTGAGCCACACATAAGTGTCACAATGTAATCTACAGTTACAACGTTTACGCCACTGATTTTCACTAATTATGGACACTAGAGGGAAATTTCACCCAAAAATTCGGTCAACATTTACTCACCTTCGTGTCGTTCTAAACCTGTAGACCAGAGCGATAATCACTGGTACACGAACAATAGGGAAAACTGCATTCCGACATACAATTTCCTCATAGTCACACAGCTGGTTAGGAGCTATGAATACTATGTGTGAGAATTAACCTGTGCTAGTCTACAGATGAGCGTTCACACACATACAATGGTGTTCAGTAGGGTTACACTGTAAATCTGTTATTCAAAGTCTAATTTAAACATTAAAATAAACAAAATTTGAAAAATGTAAAAAGCAATTTATGAAGAAATGCTTCAGAAAAAAATAAGAAATAAGGTTCTGCACTATTTGTGTGATAATCAAATATCAAAATCAACAGATTTTTATCTGAACAAAAAAAAAAGATTTAAAAAAAGAAAAAAATATGTACTGTATAAAAACAGCATGTATTCAACACATATATTTTAATGATTCAGAAAAGAATAACTGTCTGGCCAAATGATTTTTCATAGTGTATATTAGCATCATTTGTTTGCTTTTGGCATCTGAGGAATCTAACGTCAGACGTAACACAAAGAACGGCCAGGATAATGTTGAAAAAAATGCCCTTTGTGTTTCACAAAAGGAAGAAAGTCATATTAATTTGGAATGGCATGATTGAACTATTGGGTGAACTCCCGTTGTGGTCAAAATTATTAGGTGAAATACTGTCATAGTTGTGCATGGACAGTCTATTTTACTGCATGTAAAGAGACATTGTTTCTTCAGTGTTTGGCAATATTGATGACATAAAGACCCTGAGTATTCAAAAAAGCTGAAATGTGGAAAAGTGTGAGAAATAAAATGTAAAAAATAAAAAGCCTTCTGCTTCTCTGACAGATGAGCCATGCGGAGGAGACAAGTCCATATTCTGTCAGATGGAGGTTCTGGCTCGTTATTGCCCGATACCAGGTTACAACAAGCTCTGCTGTGAATCCTGCAGTAAGCGAAGTGGCACTTTTGCTCCTCTTCTGCATGAAGCTTTTAAGACGGAGGAGGAACTTCGCTTCAGTTCAGCCTCCCAAATTCTGGAGACACTCTCAGCCTCTGTAAATGGAACTCTGAAAGTCCCTCAGCAGCACCAGCGGGGATCCTCGTCACAAGGCCAATTTGCCAAGCAGACCGCCACTCCCCCGCCTCGCAAATCCAATACCGAGAACAGCAAGACTCAAAAGCATCTGAAACCCGGTGCGAGGAATCTGCCTGCAATGACGATCCATAGCTCGTGGAACAAGGACGCCGCTAAAGATGCACCATGGCAGCTGGAAAGTTTCCAAGAGAGTCAGTGGCCGACAGCATCATCCGAGGTGGAGAGATGAAGGCTAGTTTGTCTCTTTCTTCCTCTGGACTCTCTCTTATTTGTTTGTTGTAGACATAGACCTTTAACGTTCATCTTTCCCTTCACATCCTCCTCAAGATATTTAAAAGCAAGAGAGAGTATAGTGCTGGTTCACTTTCAAATGTTCTCAATTCCCCCGCCAGCAGTATTTGTTTTTTAAAACACACTTGTCAATCACACACTGTTGTGATGGGGAACGTGCCAAAGAAATTCTTATGATGATCCTCTCAGCAGTCTGGTCTATGGGGGTTTGGTGCGCCTATACGAAGAGACGCCGGTGGTACTCGTGAGGAAATGATTGTAGTTGTATCAAACTTCACAATCTTTAAAGTATTATTTTTACCAGGTCCAAACATGTTTGACCAGTTCATATTTATGAACGTTCCTGTAAATACTGTATATGGGAAATGTCAGTATTATTTTATACATAATGAGGATTTTTAAAATAAGAGATTCAGGAGCATTATTGGTGCTTTTTATATTAAGAACACTTTAATAATATGTTAGGAAATCAGCCATGAGTTCAGCACTGAAGAATATATATTCCAAAACCATGTGAGCCCCAGGAACAAACATCAGTGAAATTAAAATAGCCATAAAAGATCTACTTTTAATTAGAAAGTATTTCATTCATGAATCAGCCTCTCAGCAAGTCATCGATCAAATGAATTCTCAAAGACTGTGAAAACTGTCAGGTTTTTGGTTTTCCTCATTTCCCCATGATGTTGAGGATTTTCTTTGACACTTGCCTCTTAGATTTCCCTTATTTTGTGTTATGAGTTCACATTTGCAGCCAGAAGTTTGTTTAGCCAACGACAGCATTGAACGTAAACATCATGTCAAGCAGCTTCACCATGATGTAGGAGACCGCGTCTTATACATTGTGAGATTAATTGGATATTTGAGCTGGGATTTGAAGGAGTAAAGCTGGACTTTCTGGAGATATTACACTGCACAAGATATCTCACTTGAGGGAGAGGAAAGCTATTTATTTTTATAATCAAGGATTATATCTCAACCACAATGCATCTGACTGCAATACCAAGGAAACCAGTTAGTATATCAGTGGAGTACAGCTGTTCATAACTGTACACACACGTTCACCTGTGTGCCACTGTAAAGTTATTGTATATACCATTGAGAACTTTATTAAGATTTAAAGTTCAACATCATGTTTTTTGTGCAACATTATCTGTTACTTCAGACCAAAAACACAGACTCCCATCAAGTAGTAAAAGTAGCTCACAAAAGTAAACACAGAAACAAAAGTAGACGTATGAATAGCCTTATTGTTGTTGTTTTAACTGCCTTTTTAGATAAAATAAGACACATGCTCCGCTTTTGAGATGTTATAATAAGGGAAAGCTGTTTCACAGCCATTTTAGAATAGAAATATTGTAGAGAAAATCTTAAACAAAGCTGTCATTTACAGTGATTCATTTTGTCCTTTACCCACAAATCCCCTTATACTGCACAAAGCTGCTTTTACAGTTAATTTGTAGCTTTAACAGAAAAAATGCTAAATTATAGTGATATATTTTGATCCTCTAGATTAGACAATAGCCATATCTGCATACAGATCAGTAGCAGTTGTCTTTGAACATCATTCATCCGATGAAAGCTAAGGTGAACGGTGTGTGCATCACAAAAAAGCTTTCATTTTATCGTTGTTCACTTTCTGATAATAAACAATGTGTTGCTAATATTATCGACAAGCTTTCGGAGACCCTAAGGAATGCGAGATAGTTGAAGTTAAATTGACAATCCCTAAGCCACAGACAGACACCCAACATAAAGTATAAAGCGTGTTTATCCTCAATATTCCAAGTGTTAATTGTTGTTCTGGCTTACACTGACACTTTCAGTTGCTAACCGCTTGCGGTCATTTCTTTTTGTTTTAATTTGTACTTTTGTTAGTTGTAATGGAAGTGTACACTACTGAGGCTGTTTGTTGTATTGGGAGCACATAGCAATAAAGAAAGTAAAAATACCACGCTGTCTCTTGAGTGTAATTTTTTAGGTTTGCTTTATTTATTTTCATTAAAGATGAACTTATATTTTCCCCTTTTCGCTACTAAGCCCTTACAAGACTCTTTACAGTAAAAAAAATTAATCTGTTTTAAATCCTAAGCTTAAAAAAAAAGGACTGAAAATATGTTTGGCAATGTGTTTAATAAATCCTAAAATCAAATGTATGCTGGGATATGTGTGCTTCTGAGTTTGTTTGATCTGGGTTTTTTTGTTTGTTTGTTTTTAGTTTGCACCCTTGTTCTCTTCACAAAACCAAATGCACTGAAATTGCTCTTGATTGAAATTTATTTTGTTCTCTCACAGTGGATGCTAACATAGAGTTTTTAGTTAAAGCCAATAATTTCGCTTAGGCCGAACATTTTCTTACAACATTAAATTGCTTCAGAGCGCTTCCCTGGTGCTGTATATGATGTTCACATAAAAGTATAATCTGGGCTGCCAACTCATTTTCCAGCTCACCATACCTTCAGGCTCAAAATTGTTAATATATTATGAAAGGCTCTAATTTCTTTAAAGGGGTCATCGAATGCCAATTTTCCACAAGTTGATATGATTCTTTAGGGTCTTAATGAAAAGTCTGTGTAGTTAGGTTAAAATTTCTAAATGGTAGTGTAAAACAACACCGTATTTACCCCGTCAAAAACAGATCTTTTCAGAGCAAGCTGTTTTCTTGCATGCCGCTTTAAATGCAAATGAGCTCTGCTCACCCCACCCCTCTCTTCCGAGCCGCTTTCTGAGAGACGGTAAACTTTAGCTGCATTCATCGTGAAACTTGCTAGCTAGCATGGGTGACCATATGTCATCTTTTCCCTGGACATGTCCTCTTTTTGGACCTAAAAAAATGCGTCCGGCCAGGATTTCTAAATCGCCCAAAATGTCCAGGATTCGGCTGTTTTCTTTATCCTGCTCCCGCTGAATTTCTGACCATTGCTGCCTGCTCCTGCAATATGTGTTTCGCTCCCGCGATTTAATGAGCTCTGCTCGCCCTGCCCCTCACTTCCGAGCTGCTCTCTGAGAGACGGTAAACTTTAGCCGCATTCATCATGAAACTTGCTAACTAGCACGTTATTAGGAAAGGCGATTTGATTCCCACGAAGATAGACACATTTAGGTGGATCGGGGGAGCATTCCCTTCAGAAACAAATGTAATCCACTGCGTCTTCAGTGGCTCAGATGTCGGGAGTAAAGGATGACTGCTATGTTCATTATTACATCCAACAACAGAACACCTCAATCGCTTAGGAGTCATTCGTGCCTACATCTGCTCCGGCGGTGAAGTAATGGTGGACTGATGACAGCTCACTCAGGGCGGGTCTAAGATAAGACACCAGTCCAGTCTGTGCTGAAACACTACTGTCAATCAAACTATCGTGGGAGGGCCTTGGTCTGTGTGACGTCACACAGACAGGCATCTGAGAACGGCTCAATTTGAGAAAGGGGAATTGAGAAATACAGAGTTCTGGCATGAAACTCTAGATGGCGCAGTTCGATAGGTCTAACTCAATCTGACCTAATGACATCATCACATGGCCCGGCTGATTGGTTCTTTTTGTATCAGCAGCCAATGAACTTTCTGCTCAACATTTAAATACTTGGCTAGTGCTCGCCGTAGCAGTTGCAGCGTGCTTCAGAAACCCTCCACCTTCCCCAGCTCCACCTGCATAGATCTGCTACAGGGTTATTGTATATGCTATTTGTGCAGCCGCTAGTGTAAATCAAACAATCGTGGGAGGGGCCTGTCTGTGTGACGTCATCTGAGATCAGCTAGATTTGAGAAAGGGGAAATGATTTACTGAGATAAAATTAGATTTTATTAGATAAAATTAGAGTTTAATTAGATTTAATGGGTGGATCTTTATCAATATAGGGTGGTTGTGTACACACTGCCATAGGGCTGGGCAAAAAATCGAATGCGATTTTCATGCGAATCTCGTCAGTATTTTACAGATTTTGTGTAGCTTGTCAGTGATCTACGGCTCTGTGTAGTAAATGCCGCTCCATCTGAAAGCACGTGCTGGAGATTTACTACTAATCACCAGAAGCAGCTTTACTGACGAGATGCGCATGAAAATCTCATTCGATTTTTTGCACAGCCCTACACTGCCAACACACATTTCAGTTCAAATAGCTTGTAAAAGTGCATGTCGCATCCGATGACCCCTTTAAAGACCCATTCAGACTAATGTACCAAACATCAGGACATTCATTATTTTCTGAATGGTATTTAAAGATCACTAAGATCATAAATTACATAAAAGGACATTGTGACGAGTGGAGAGGGGCAGAGAGCCGTGGGAGCGGAGTGAGGATGTTGGAATAAATGAGTGACACCTGCGCCACTCGTCATAGACATTCTTAATAAAATCAGTATGAGTAAAATATTGCACAATCCACTGGACAAAAGCAACCTCTGAAGCATTGTTCACCCAAAAATGTATTTTATTTTATTTAAATTGTATTTACTCCCCATCATGTCATTCCAAACCCTGAGGACTCTGGCTAAACCTCAAAACACAAATTAAATGAAACCTGAGAGGTTTCTGTTCCTCCATCAAAAGTCCAGGTAACCAAAATTTTAAAGATCCAAAAAGGTCATAAAGGCAGCGTAAAACAAATCTATTCTTTAAGTTAATTTTTTACTATTCTTTTTATTGATTAATTTTTTTATAGCCTACAGTGCTTTTTTTTAAATAATGTAAAAGATAGCAGATGAGGAATGCAAGCAATTTATACTACAAATTTTTTGAGTAGCTTGTCCAACACTGTTGTATGTTTGACAAGCTATTCTGCCTCTAGAAGACCATTTTTCAGAAGCTACCTAACCATGCTCTTGCTTTGACAACTCGCTCTTGATCAGGCCTCCCATCATGACTACTACTGCAGATTGGTTGATCTTCCCCAAATAATCAAACTTAGTGCATTTCATCTTCATTTTGTTTTATAGCGCTAAAATGTTTCTTGTCTGTGTCGGGAAGTGAAAAATATTTTAAGAAATATAAACTTTCCCATTGTAATTACCCAGACTCTTTGAAATTAATCCAGACTCATGGGAAGGACCTTCCCAAAAGGACTGGAATTCAGGACGACTCAACCATTTAACTATCACAATTTGCCATCTCACTCCTCACACTAACATCAACCCCATTACTAGGTTCACCACTTTGCTGTCCTCGCACTCAAATGTTAAGAAATTTCCCCTTTTAAGTAACCTTTTTTTTTTTTCCAATAATTGCCCACCATCTTTTGACAGAGTGGTCTCTCACATGACATTTAATGGACTTTTTGTCACTCTGGAAGAACGTCTGCTACATTCCTTAAATGTAATGAAATGTAAGTGCATTGAATGTACCTCAAAGCACAAGGAAATCCATCCAGAAAAAAATACTTTAGTATGGAATGCATGACATCTGCCCATTTGTGACCCTGGACCACAAAACCAGTCTTAAGTCGCTGGGTTATATTTTTAGCAATAGCCAAATAAAACATTGTATGGGTCAAAATTATCGATTTTTATTTTATGCCAAAAATCATTAGGATATTAAGTAAAGATCATGTTCCATGAAGATATTTTGTAAATTTCCTGCCGTAAATATATCAAAACTTAATTTTTGATTAGTAATGCAGGTGCATCTCAGTAAATTAGAATGTCGTGGAAAAGTTCATTTATTTCAGTAATTCAACTCAAATTGTGAAACTCGTGTATTAAATAAATTCAATGCACACAGACTGAAGTAGTTTAAGTCTTTGGTTCTTTTAATTGTGATGATTTTGGCTCACATTTAACAAAAACCCACCAATTCACTATCTCAACAAATTAAAATACTTCATAAGACCAATAAAAAAAACATTTTTAGTGAATTGTTGGCCTTCTGGAAAGTATGTTCATTTACTATTCTAATTTGTTGAGATAGTGAATTGGTGGGTTTTTGTTCATTGTGAGCCACAATCATCACAATTAAAAGAACCAAAGACTTAAACTACTTCAGTCTGTGTGCATTGAATTTATTTAATACAGAAGTTTCACAATTTGAGTTGAATTACTGAAATAAATGAACTTTTCCACGACATTCTAATTTATTGAGATGCACCTGTATGCATTGCTAAGATCTTCATTTGGACAACTTTAAAGGCGATTTTCTCAGTATTTTGATTTTTTTGCACCCTCAGATTCCAGATTTTTAAGTAGTTGTATCTCAGCCAAATATTGTTCCATTCTAACAAACCATACATCAATGGAAAGCTTATTTATTCAGCTTTCAGATGATGTATAAATCTCAATTTCGAGAAATTGACCCTTATGACTGGTTTTTGTGGTCCAGGGTCACATTTGTCAACTCAAGAAGAAGCCATTAAGGAAGGCAACTTGAAGTAGGCTACACCATAGAGATGAGACAATAGGAAGGAAGAATTAATTGGCATCAAAACTGAACACATTCTTGTAAGCACTGGTTGACACTAACCTGAGCACACATTACACTAATGCTGTGCCCGAAATCGCATACTTCTCTACTATATAGTAGGTGAAAAACAGTATGTGAGGCAAGTAGAATGTCCGAATTCATAGTATTAGAAAAACAGTAGGCGAAAAGTACCCGGATGACCTAATTCTGCCGCCCAGATTCTGAAGTGCGCATTGGATGGACACTTTACTATCCCATGAGGCCACGGGAGAGGATTTATGAATGGCATAGAAGCGACACAACTGACGCTTGTAGGTCATGTGACAGTAACAACATGGCATATGTAGTAAGTCCGAATTTCATTCATAGGCACCCATATTTATACACCAACACCCATATTCATACTATAGAACGTTTTTTTTTAACAGTCCTGAAGTAAATTCACATTCAAATGTAGTACCTATAGACAGATTTGCTGGTGCGCAAAACAAGTACATTAAAGGACATCCTTACGTTTATTGCCTGACAAAAATT